GGGAATGAAAAAAAAATACTCAAGGTGATGAATAGCAAGAACCTACAGCCAAAAATAATCTACCCAGCAAAGCTATCACTCAGAATCGAAGGCCAGATAAAGAGCTTCACTAATAAAAAAAAAAAGCTAAAGGAGTTCATCATCATCACCGCCAAACCAGAATTATATGCATTGCTGAAGGGGGTTCTTTAGGAAGAGAAAGAAATTAAAGATAAAAATTATGAACAACAAATACTTAACTATCAACAAGTGAATCTAAAAATCAAGGGAATTAAAAAAAATCTGATGAACATTATTAACTGGTGAATATAATAGAATTGGAGGTATGGAAGGGGAGTGAACTGACGATTCTCAGGGAAAGGGGGAGCGGGGAGTGTGGGAAGAGACTGAACATAAACTGTGCACCTATGGATGAGGACAATGGGGGGTGGGGAAAGGGCAGAGGGTGGGGTGGGAACCTGGTGGAGGGGAGCAATGGAGGGGGGGGGAAATGAGGAACATTTGTAATAATATGAACAATAAAGATTTATTTTAAAAAAATAAATCAGCCATCGGTGAAAGGGTCAGAAATTCAAATACTGACCTAGACTAATTGGGATCTACTGCTGGAATTGGAGATGTGGGGAGAAACCTAATCAACGCTGAGGTTCTGATGCTAAGAAAGCAGAAGTAGGCAACCACGGAATTTGGTTAATTGATTACACAGAGACAGGCATATTATTATTATATCATATCTATGTATAAAATAGGGAATTTGGAAATTGTTCCAAGGAACAAATTAAGTAAAAAGTAGTAGGTGCTACTCAATACTCATTTAAAAAAAAAAAATGTGTGGAGCCAAAACCGGTTTGGCTCAATGGATAGAGCATCGGCTTGGGGACTGAAGGGTCCTGGGTTTGATTCCGGTCAAGGGCATATACCTTGGTTGTGGGCATATCCCCAGTAGGGGGTGTGCAAGAGGCAGCTGATCGATGACTCTCTCTCATCGATGTTTCTAACTCTCTATCTCTCTCCCTTCCTCTCTGTACAAAATCAATAAAATATATTTTTTAAAAAATGTGTGGAAACAAGCACTTGATGATTTGAGCTGGGTGGAAAATTCTGGCACTATTGGAGACATACCTGCCCTGAAATCTACAACCTTGTTGGGGCAACAAAGTAGAAAGAACTGAAGTGACCTACCGTACAAGGAAATGATTTTTTTACCCACTTGGCCAACAGTTACTGGGTAAGCACTATGAACAAAGAACTATGTCAAGGGCTGTGGGAGATCCAAAGATAAAGCACTGTCCCTTCCCCCTAAGAATTCTGCAATTTAAGACACATACACAAATAATGATGGGTACAGCATTTAAAAAGCTGTATTGCAAAAGACGGTGGAACAAAGTATTTGGAGACCCAGAGAGGGAACAGCGCTTGTGACCTGTAAGGTTACGGGAAGGATAGGGGATCCACCATCTCTAGCGGTAGCCTTGAAAGATGGACAGATTTTTAACCAGTCATGACCGTAGCCAGGAGGGAGGGATCAGAGAATAGGAAGATGGAAGAAACCAAGAAACCACAAGAGCATAGCAAGTGACGTGGATGTGAGAAGGCAGGTCTCATCTCTTATCAGCACAAAGCCATAGATGGCATCAAACAGTGTCGAGTGATAGCTGGAGGGAGGAGACAGGGGCAGCTCTGGGAAGAGGGACTGAGAGGCTATGTGAGGAGCAATGTCCTCGGTGAGCAGGGTGGCATAGACAGGGCAGAAAGTTAGGGGAGCTGACCCAGTTTCATGGTGTAACCCTTAAATATCAGTAGCAAAGACAGAAACAACTTCTTTAGTGAATAAATTGCAATAACAACAAAATGATACAGAGGGAGAAGCCACTGATTAAAAAAGACTTGAAACATATCAATCTATCTCAATGTGTGGATTTTATTTGAATTCTAACTCAAATAGGTGAATTATAAGAATATTTTATGACACTTATAAGACAATTGAGTACAGATATTAGATGTCTAAAGTTATTTTAATTTTTTAGGTACTGATATTGTAGTTTTAGTTAGTTTTTTAATTCTCACCTGATGACATTTTTTCCATTTATTTTATTTTATTATTTAAGGTGTTACAAATAGTAGCATATATGTTTCCTTTTCCCAACCCACTGACCTCCCTCAGGCCTCCCCTACCCTCCTCCCCCACCCCACAACTTGCTCTCGCCCCGCCACCTCCAGTGTCTTGTGTCTGTTGGTTGTGCTTATATACACATGCATATAAATCCTAACCCTCCCCTATCTTCCTGATCTAGTTTGATAGTCTTTTTGATGCTTCTTTGCTTCTGTCTGCTTTTGTTCAACAGTTTGTAATGTTCTTTATTATCCATAAATGAGTGAGATCATGTGGTATTTATCTTTCACTGACTGGCTTATTTCACTTGGCATAATGCTCTCCAGATCCATCCATGCTGTTGCAAATGATTTTTTAAGAGTGTAGGGGAGGGACAAGGAAGGGGAAGAGAGGAGAGAGAGAGAAAGAGAGAGAGAGAGAGAGAGAGAGAGAGAGAGAGAGAGAGAGAGAGAGAGAGAGAGAAATGAGATGAGAGACATGTGAGAGAGACACATAGATTGATTGCCTCTGCCTCAAGATTGAGACCTCAACCAAGGTACCTGCCCTTGACTGGGAATTGAACTTGAGACCCTTCCGGTCCACGGGCCCAGTTCTAACCACTGAGCGACCACTGAGTCAAACTGGCCAGGGCATCTTGTGGTTATGATCTTTAAAAGAGCCCTTATCTTTTGGAGTTATATTCCTAACTATTTATGGGGGAAATGATGCCTGGGGTTTTCTTGGAATAATGCAGGGAGTAGGGAAATGTACAAACGATGTAAGATTGGCCGTGATTTGATCATTGTTGCAGGCGAGTGCCTCAGGTTCATCATACTATTCTTCCTACTTTGCATATATTTGAAACTTGTCCTAATAGAAAATGCAAAACAAATTATATTAAAGTAGGGCGCCCTTGAACGCACGTATCGGGGAAGCTGTCCCCGCCTCGCCAGGGAGGCCACGCCCCCTTCAGCCCGACCTCTCCCGCAACCACCTTCCAGGCGCCCAGTTTGCAGTCTCTCCCGACTTTCTCACTCGCCCCGGGGAATCCATCGGCCTTGCACCGCCTGGGTGGCTCTCTGTGCCCCCGGGCCCCTCACACCGCTCAGGGTCCCCAGGAGACACCCACGGCCTCCGGGCTCCGCGCTGCGACAGCGCAGCTCCCCCCGCGTCTCTGGGCAACTTGGTCGCGCCCGTCGCCACCCTGGGAGCGCGTCCCGTTGTCATGGCGACGCTGTGCGCTAGAGTGGACGCAGCGAAATCCTGCCGGGGACCGGGGACCCCCTCCAGTGTGAGCCGCCCCGGGGCTGGGGCGGGGTGGCCCGTGGCCTCTGAGCTGCTGGGCAGCCCGAACCCCTGGCGGAGTCCAGACGCCTGTCCTCCTGGGCTGGGTGGCAGGCGAGGTCTGGCCTGAAGGATTAATGGGGATGTGGCGGGCCGGGGTCCAGGGTCCACAACAGCCCCGCGCAGGGGATGGAGTCCATCGAGCGGAGGGAAGGTTAGGGTTAGGGTTTGCAGGGAGGAGAGGGCTGCCCAGAGGATGGGGCGAGCTAGGGGACCAGGACTGGGGCCTGCTCAGAGGGTGGGGCGAGGGGACCAGGGAGGGGGCTGTGAACAGGGAAACAGGGTCACCCTGGCGGTGGGTGGAGGGAGGATGGTGGCTCTGGCACCTGCCTGACAGGGCAGGGCATCTGAGGGACCCGGTGGAGAAGGGGCTGGAGAAGGAGCTGGGGAGGTAGGTGTTAGGGGTGAGCAGGTGAGGTGGCGGCAGTGCCGAGGAGGATGGGGATGCAGCGATGCTAGAGAGAGGGATGGCCAGGGCGGGGAGAGGAGGAACTTCTTTCGGGAAGTGAGTGTTAAGCCCCGGCAGGGTAGCCAACCTTCTTTTGCTCAATGCCGGAGACGCTTTGGGAATCTAAAGTTATGAACCTTCTCAGAAACACAACCACCACCACAACCCACAAGGACATAGAGATTTTACATCCAATTTCAGAGGCTTTACAGAGCAGTCCCGTCTGTACCAGGCACCGGGTTAGGGCATTTAGCTGGGGAATATGAAGATGTGTAGGATTTGTAAGGTGCCATGGCAGGGCAATAAATTGTGTGTGAATGTGTGTGTGTGTGTGTGTGTGTGTGTGTGTGTGTGTAGCTTCCATTTCGAAACGAACATTCTTAACGAAGCCAGGGCAATAAACTGTTAATGCCAGATGAGGAGGAGAAGCAGCCATTGCTGAAGTGGTGGGATGGGTGTGGACTTAAGAAGAAGGTGGGCCTTGAAATGACTGTGTTAAGGGAAGGCAAGACTGGCAAAAGGTGTGACATGCCCGGGTCCCTCCTGGGTCCTCAGACAGAGCTTCCAGGAAGGGCCAGTGCAGACAGAGGCTGTCTGTGGAGCTCCAACCCCTCAGCAGAGGAAGCCAGGAGGCGGCTCATCAATGCCAGGGTCCTCACAGCGTCTCCAAGATCACAGGGTTTCACGGCCGCATCTGAGAATCTGATTGGGGGGATCTCAGAAAGAACAGACTCGTTTAACTGTTTCCTGCAACATTTTCCAAACCTACTCGCCAGTGAGGGCCCTTCACTCTGCTTTCACTCGGCTCTACTAATAGCGCGGGAAGCATGTCAGGACTACATTTTGGGAAAAGCTCTTAAGAGTTAGGACACGAAAGGATTGGGCCATGGCACGATACCGGGTGTGATGGGTGACGCGGGAGATTAATGGGACGGCCGTGTGTGGGAACCGGGTGGCCAGAGGCCGGGAGGGCCGTCACGCGGTGACGCCAGAGGCACATTTGTCAAGGGCTGAGGGGAAATGTGGAGGTTTCTCACGGATGACTCTCCCGTCACTGTGTTCTTCCCAGGACATGACCTTCGGCTCTAAGAACAACACTCCGTTTTTCACGCTAAAATGGCAGCAGTGAAAACCCCCAGCCAAGAACTACAGAATGCAGAGGAGCCGCTCAGTGACATTTCGCCCCTCCTGTTGAAGAGCCTCGTGGAGGAGCCCAAGAGGAGGAGAGACGTGCCCAACCACCTGCTGCAATCCAGTAAGCGTGGGCACAGATGTGCTGTCAGCTCACAGCCCAGCGGCCCCGGGGCCCGGGGAGCGTGGTGGGTGCTGAGTGCTGACTGTCTAGATGTTTTCTAGGTGCAGAATCATTTTTATTAAGAACATTGAGCCGAAACGGTTTGGCTCAGTGGATAGAGCATCGGTCTTCGGATTGAAAGGTCCCAGGTTCAATTCCGGTTAAGGGCATGTACCTTGGTTGTGGGCACATCCCCAGTGGGGAGTGTGCAGGAGGCAGCTGTTTATTAGGTAATTTTCTCTCTCATTGATGTTTCTAGCTCTCTATCCCTCTCCCTTCCTCTCTGTAAAAAATCAATAAAATATATTTTTTAAAAAGAACAATGGCCCTATTTAGGTCCACTTAACTGATAGGTTTTTGGGGCATGAGTCACTAAGTTCTATTGCTTCCGCTTCCTGAAATATCTTTCTTCTGTGTCCCCACAGCCTTGCCCATGGTCCTCAGCAGGTCCCAAGCTATGGCGGTGCTTCTCAGGCCGCCATACTCTCCCCAGACCACCTTTCACACCCCGCCAGTTTCCTTTGTATAATAGAATCCCGCTGGCTGCCCCCGTCCTGCTGGAATATTCTGAGAGGTCCCCCTTGCAGGCAGGACAGAGTTGCAACTCCTCCGACTGGCTTTGCTGTTGGTCTGAAGCTGCACCACCCCCATGCCGGCTCCTCCACTCCCAGCTCCAGCCTCTCTGTGACACACCTCCTCCGGTGCCTCTGCATTTTATAACTTTTTTCCTTTCCCCCTGCACATCTCTTAGCCTGGGAAGCCTGGTAAATCCCATTGCTGCTAAGTACAATGCTAAAGCATTTGCCTGCGTTATTTTCAGTTAATCTGCATGGCACCAGCATTCCATTTCCATGTTCGTGTTGGGGAAGCTGAGGTTCAGAGAGGCCCGGTGAACTCTCCGAAACGGAGAGTCGGTGTAGTAGCTGGTGCAGCCCCGTGCCCAGCTTTCTGCCATCACACGAGGTTGCTGCCCCTCATCTTCCAAGGCCCCTGCAGATGCTGGGGATGCAGTATTGGTGTGGCTCTTCTGTCACTGTGGAACTTGAGTGTGCATTAGCACACTGGACTTATTTCTGGGTCTGAAGAGAAAAATGCTCATCTACATGTATTTGTGGCCCTAAAAACAAAAACAAAACCGTCAGTGTTTAAAAAATTATCAAGGAATGTTAAGTTCAGTATTTTAAAATTACCTAATAGCCGAAAATGATTTGGCTCAGTGGACAGAGCGTCAGCCTGCGGACTGAAGGGTCCAGGTTCGATTCTGGTCAAGGGCATGTACCTTGGTTGCGGGCACATCCCCAGTGGGAGGTGTGCAGGAGGCAGCTGATCGATGTTTCTCTCTCATCCATATTTCTGACTTTCATCTCTCTCCCTTCCTCTCTGTAGAAAAACAATAAAAGATATATATATTTTTTTTTAAAAATTACCTAATAACCTGCAGATGGTCAGTCCCTGTGAAACGCCATCCTAACCCCATCCGAGGCCTTCAGTTTGGCCCAAAGCTGATGGCAGCAGCAGAAACACCGAACGGGCCACACACCCTAGGTGAACTCTGGCAGCCCAGTGGGCGAAGGGATGGACAGGGTGCCCGTGGCTCACGGGACTGGGAGGTGGCCAAAGGTAATAGGTGATTTTTTATTTTATTTTTTTAAACTGGACAGTGCATTCATATTGAAGCAGTTTAGCGGTTGGAATAACACAGACCTGGGCTTAATTTATTTTTTTAATCCTCACCAGAGGATATTCTTTTCATTGATTTTTTTAGAGAGAGTAAAAGAAGGGAGAGAGGAGAGAGATAGAGAGAGACATTGATGTGAGAGAGACACATTGATTGGTTACCCCTGCACATGGCCCTGGTCTGGGATTGAACCTGCAACATAGGTATGTGCCCTTGACCGGAAATCAAACCCGGGACCTTGTGGTGCGTCCACTGCGCCAAACTGGTCAGGGCTAGGCTTAATTTTTAACTATCAACTTGGGCAAGTTGCTTAATCTTGTTGAGTCTCACTTAGCTCTCTTACCTACAAACGGAGCTAATGCCTGCCTCCTCCATGGCGGGGAGGAGAGAGAAGTGAGAGTGCAAACACACGCCTGGCTTAAGGCACTGGAGGCACTGGAACCGTGGTGCCTGTGTGAGCAGCCAAGGAGCTCTGTGGACCCCAGCACTCAGCAGTTTAACATTCCTCTCAAAACTGGGGGTGTGTGGGGGGAGATATTTCTGTTACAGTAGCAGTCTGAGACTTTACTGTCCAGAGCGATGATTATTAAAAGCCTTAAATTACATCAAATAACAAATATTGCGTAACATCCATTTAAAAAGTATTTTTCTGTATCACATTGCAATTCTATTCAGAGGAAAACAATAACAGTTAAACACACAGCAATACAATTAAACGGTGTGAGATTCTTGTAACTGAGCTTTGATCGCACAGTAAGCACTCGCGGTGTTACACAGAGCAAAGGCCGTTTGCACTTTGTAAGCTCGTGTTTTACTGCAGAGACTTGTACAAAGCATGAAGAGCAAATTATTTTATTATTTACTTACTTATTTATTTTTATCCTCACCCAAGGATATTTTTTCATTGATTTTTAGAGAGAGTGGAAGAGAGAGGGAAAGACAGAGGGAAATATCGATGTGAAGCACATCATTTAGTAGCTGCCTGTAAGTGCCCTGACCAGGGCCAGGGCCAGGGGGGAGCCTGCAATCAAGGTACCGGCCTTTAACTGGACTCAAACCTGGGTCCCTTCAATCCAGAGGCCAAAGCTCTATCCACTGAGCCAAACCGGCTAGGGAAAGAGCACATTAGTTTAGTAGGTAATGAACAATACACATGCATTTGTATTGTGGTGATAATATCTCCCATGTCATGTGTAAAAGTAGGAGGAGAGGCATAGCATTTATTTGAAACAGACTATTCATGCTGACAGCTATATCCTCCAGCTGAAGCTTTCATGTGCTGAAAACGTCCTTAATTAAAAAAAGCCGTGTTAATAGGATCTGCTCTCATTTATATTTTCCTTTATGTCTCATCTCATGATGTACTTATATGCATTGTTTTTATAGAGGTCTATGAAAACATTCTGAGTAATAAGGTTGTGCAAGCAAAGCCTGGCATACTGCATTTTGGAGGCTACCAAATAGGAAAGCAACACCAGCAGATTGTGGTAGGTGCTGTGTGAGTGGAATAACTAATCATAACAATGAGAGGTGTGAATTTTCTGCATATATTTACTCCTTCATCTAAAGAGCAGCAGAAGTGCAGGTGTAAATCGGGCCAGAAAAGTCGTTGAAGGACAAGAGACGTTGGGTTGCATGTGTCCTTGGACCAGCTGCTGTGCCAGAGACTCCTCCGAGCACTCTGTACATGTGCGAGTAGGAGGTATCATTGCTGAGCGACTCCCAGAGGCAGGGGACTGTGCCTTGCGCCCCTCAAAATTCAATTCAGTCCTCATACCAGCTCTGCAGGTATTGCAATGTTACTATATATATGCGGAACCCAAGATTCCAGAGGTTAAATAGTTGGCTCAAGCACCCTGAGCTTCAAAGTGGTGGAGGCAGACTCTTAGACTGCCTTTCTCCAAGCCAGTGTCTGCCCAGTGGTACCTACACCAGCAGGGAAAGCAGGTCCCTTTTTTACAAGGCCCCAGCCAGGGTCCTGTTTCACTTGCCCAGGTCATATGCCCATGCCTAAATCAGTCATTCTGGCCAAAGATATTCTGCCCAGACCTGGATGGCAGGGGCCAGCTCCACTGGACAGGCCTCGGAAGGGACAGTGGGAGCCTGCAGTGACCACAGTCCACCACGGGACCACACCGAGGGCCAGTCCTTGCTGCGCCCTCACTGGATGCAGTGGGTTATGGGCGGCCACAGCATCCCTAATTCCCGTGCCAAAGGGCACCTGAACAGTCAAATCCACTCTACAAACCTCAGTGACCTCAGCAAGTCCCCTGAGGTCGCATGGAACAAACAGGTGAGAATCACCCCAACTAGGAGGCCTTGGAACTGAGCCAGACAGGTCTCTGAGCAGGTGCAGGAATGGAGGGAGGTGGGCTCTGCTCAGGTGGGCCCTCAGAGAACTGGCTTTGTATGTGATGTGACCGCTGGCCCTGCCCCCAGCCACCACAAGAGCCTCTTCTTTTAAATGTAGTGAATTCTTAAAAGCCATGACTTTAAAAAAAAAAAAAGATTTTTTTATTCATTTATAGAGAGAGAGGAAGGGAGTGGGACAGAGAGAGAGAAAAACATCCAAGTGAGAGCAAAACATCGATTGGCTGCCTCCTGCATGCCCTTCAGCCAAGATCGAGCCCACAACATGGGCATGTGCCTGGACTGGAAATGGAACAGGCAACCCTCTGGTGCACAGGACTATACCCAACCAACTGAGCCACATTGGCCAGGACAAAAGCCATGTCTTCTCATGGATCATTTTAAGATAGAATTCTGACTGCTGTGCTGGATGCTCTGAGTGAGGACAGTCACTGAGAGACCCTGACCAGTGGTGATGTTCCCCAGGGAGTGAGGTAGTTTCATCAGAGCCCCCAGTGAGCAGAGGGGCAGCTTCCAGGAGTCCTTATGTGTTGAAGTGGGGAGAGTAGGGAGATCAGGAGAGGAAGCTGCCAGGTACCAGGTGTCTCCTCTCAGAGAAGGGTTAGGATTTGAAACTGTGACTAGAAACTTCATCCATCAACCTATAGGGGCACATTTCTTAGAACGTGGCATCAAAGACCACGGTCAGTAATACATTCTGGGGCTTACTTTTCCTGGTTATTAGATTTGCTGTCTAGATTATAGTAGGATAGATCTAGAATGATTATCATTCATAAATACTCATTGTTTCATTGTTTATGATGAATAAACAATTCACCACCCATCCCTAGCCCCCTCACTCTCCTCATCAACCTCCCCATCCCCCTCCTCACCCTAGGCAGTTACAGTTTCTTTCTGTTGGTATAGATTTGCCTGTTCTGGACATTGCATATAGATGGACATGTGGTCTTCTGTGACTAGCTTTTCTCACTCAGCATGTTTTCCAGGCTCATTCAGCTTGTAGTATATACCAACACTTCATTGCTTTTTATGGCTGAATAATGCTCCATTGTATGGATGTACAACGTTTTATTTATGCGTTCATCTACCACTGATTGACATTTGAGTTTGTACTTTGGGGCTATTATGAAGAATGAATGCTGTTATGAACATTCACATTCATGTCTGGGGTGGACATATGTTCTTGGCTATCTATCAGAGTGCAAAATTAATTTTCTGTGGCTGCTCTAGTAAATCACCACAATTTTAGGGGTTTAAAGAACAGAAAATTATTCTGCATGGGAGAGTCCAAAATCAAAGAGCTGGTACAGCTGTGCTCCCTCCAAAACTCTTAAGGAGAATCTTCCTTTGCTCTTTCAGCTGATGGTGCTCCAGGTTCTTTGTCTTGTGGCTATATAACTCCACCTGCACGTGACTTTCTCTTCTGAGTCCCTCTATCTTCTGTCACTTAAAAGGACTCCTTTTATTGGACTTAGGACTCCTCTGGGCAATCCAGAATGATCTTATCTCAGGGTCCCTAACTTAATCATATCTGCAGTGACCCTTTTCCCAAATAAGGTCACTTTCTCAAGTTTGGGTATTAGGTGTGCACATATTTTTTGAGGCCACCATTCACCTCACTGTTGTTTTATTTGCATTTCCTTAAACATCTTTCCATTCATTTACTGGTCATGATGCATAAAAGTTTTGGGCGGAGAAGCCATTTGGGGTATTCCAAAAGCAAAGTGGGAACTGGGAGGAGACACTCTGGGAAGAGAGGAAGTCACGAAGAGGGCTGCAGGGGAACAAGCTCTGATGAAACTACTTCACTCGCTGGGGAGCATCACCACTGGTCTGGGCCTCTCAGTGACTGTCCTCACTCAGAGCATCCAGCACAGCAGTCAGAACTCTATCTTAATTTGGAAGCCAGAGGCTATCTGATTTATTGGGGGTGGGGGGGGGAGGGAGAGAGGATGAGGAAGGGAATGGTGGTTCCTGAAGGACAGGCCATTTCTGGCTTTTGTACAGCACAGTGCCCAGCACACAGGAGGCACTCAGTAAACACTTAGGAAGATATTGAACTCACTTTATTGCGTCAACTAATGGTTGTTGGTGCAAATCCAGTGTCAACAGGAATCCCCAAGTTAGGGTGTTGTGAAGAAGGAAACTTTATTTAGTGCAAACAGCTCAATAGTGATACAGCGCAGCTTGGAACAGTACCCTGTGAGGTGGCCCTGGGCGAGGCAGCTCTGCTCTGCTTTGCTTTACTGTCTGCCACTAGCTCTGGTCTGTCTGCTCCATTCTACTCTGGTTCAGTGAGACTTCTTCCATTTCAGCTCCCTCCCGGGAAACACAGTCTTCCGTCTTCAGAAGAAAGGGGAAGTGCTCTCTCTGAGTCAGTGCCCCTCTTCCCAGGTTGCTCTATACTCATGCAAATGAACACTCCAAATCCTCACAGTTTTACTGGCCCAAAAGGCATTGTCCTGATTGGTTACAATGGAGTCACTCTGATTGGTTGGTGAAGATGCTGATGGAGATATTGCTTTTCCCATTGGACAGGGAAAGCCTCAGTCCTGTTAGTTGAAATACATATCCAGGAACTCCTTCGCAAGAGCTGGCTCAGAGGTCGGGAACACAGTGCATGCGCATGGTGGGAGGCAGGCTTCCCGCTGAAGTGTGGTTTGTGTTGCTGCTTAGACATGGCTGCCAGGCTCTGTCTTCAGGGGTGAGCCCAGGGAGCCACCAGCAGCCTTGTTGGTCTGTGTCTTCTTTCTTGGGGCCCCCATTGAGAAGGGAGAAGACTCAGTAATTCCAGATAAATGCAGGGTAAAGCCTAGATAATCACACTGCTTCTATTGGGCATCAAAACAAACAGAAAGAGATAAAAGTACAAACTGATTTCATCTTAATCACATTCTGGGAGCCTCCTGTTCCCATCAGCAAAGTTAAGCGGAAGCTTAAGGCAATTGCCTTGAGATTCCTGCCAAACAAGGGGAAAATCCAACCCTGCTTTTATCTTGGTTTTGCTACAGGAAACTATGCAAATTGCCCAACAATGGAATGATTGAACGTGGGTTTAAAACCACAATAAATTGTTCATTAACATTTGAGCTTGATCCATGTCTGGTGAAAGAAGTGAAGACATTTTACATGGATTCATACTGAAATCAGTGTTGCAATATACTTCAAAATTTGAAATAATGATATCCAGTTTTCTCTTAAGTTCCTTTTCCTCTGTGCTAAGGCTTTGTCTAGGAAACTACATTTATTTATTAAGTAATCAATTTCCCCATGAGACATCCGGTATTGGTGTTGCTAGCCCAAACCACAGCTCTTAGCTTCTATAGCCTTACCTTACGCCCCTTCACACAGTTTCCAGTGCAGTGCCAGACACGCCTCCCTACCTGGTCCGCAGCCTCTCCCCAGGGTGCCAGGAGGGAGTGAGGACCCCGTGTAAACATCTTTTTGGAGCATCAGTTTGCTCTCTTGTTCTAGAGAACTGCATTATAGAGCAACATTTTAGAGTAAAACGCGTGATTGACACTTGAAGAACGTAAGACTGCTTGGATTTGGTCTCCAGATCTCTGGGGTTGGGTGTTAACTTTCCCTGACTGAGAAGCTGTGCCGCTGAGGGCAGATATTAACAGACTCCAACTTCGAATCTGAAATGTGGTGTTTGGAAAAACACTATGGCAAGTGCTTGTGTTAAAGCCCCCTTTAATCCAAGCCAATACTTCACTGGAGGGGGGGGGGGGGATGCTGCCCCGTAGAGGGGAGGGTGGAATCTCCAGAGGGGACACAGGAGGGGCTTGTGAGGAGCAGAGATGGGAGGGGGAGTTTAGAGAGCTGTGTGCAGGACTTGAGAAATCCCTGTAAATCTGAGTAAAAGCTGTTTAACCCATTGTTTGAGTAGGGATTTTGTTTGTTGTGGGATCAGTTCTGAAAAACTGAAGTTCATGTGGTATCCTGTCGAGGCAACACCAAGGTCCTGAGGGCCAGGAAAAGGCCAGCCCCACTGGACGGGAGATCTTGGAGGGTTTGGGGACATCTTCCAATTGGAAGATGGGGTAGGATCTTAGGCAGTTCTCACACTCAGTTACTCATGTTTTCAAATAAATTTTTGTTATTCATTTAAAATATACTTTCTAGCCATGGCTGTTACAGAAAACCAGAGAAGAACCAAGCAATACTTAGAGAGATGGAGTCACATTTATTACACGTGGGTCAAGAGGAAAATGTCTCTCAAATTCTGGGCCCCGACATGCAGGAATTTTCCCTATTTATATGTTTTTATCTTCTTTGTCTCCCAAATATGGGGTGTTTCCAGCCCCTTTTGCAAGTCCTTAAAGAGCCTGTATGTACTGGGGCCTTGAGACCTCAACCAAAGGCCTGCCTGGCGCCAGCACTGATAACCTTGTCTGCGGAAGGTTTAATGGCCTCGCTGAAGTGGGAGTAGTCTTAGCAAGCAAGAATTTACAGAAGCCAAATAGCAGGGTTAACATTTCAAAGAGCAGTTTTTATATAAGATGGATGCTTCATGGCCAGTGTTACTCAGTGGTTGGAGTGCTGGTCTGCACACACAGGAGAGTTCCAAGAGCCAATTGAGATGTGTCTCTCTCCCATCTACGTTTCTCTCCCTCATACTCTCCCTCCCTCCCTTCCATTCTCTCCGAAAAAGAAAAAGAAAAATCAATGGGAAAAAATGAGTGAGGATTAAAACATAATATTAATAAAATACATTGTCTAAACACTTTCTTCAACTTCTCAAGGCTTTCCCCCCGTGAATGAGCATTATTTTCCTCAGTTTCAGTTATAAATAGAAAGGAGAAGTGCCATTTCCATTTTAGTCCTGAAAGGACATTATTTTGAACCATTTAAAACAATACTGACCTGCTGATAAAATACTCAAAGAAAGCTGGGGAGAGCAGTCTGGGCCTGGGCTGTGCGGAGCTGAGAGGCAGCAGGATGTAGTGGACGGAACCCTAGAGCAGAGCTGGGCACAGGGTCCTAGGCCCAACTGGGCCACTAGCCCCGGTGCAGTGAGCAGAACCCAAAGGCCATCTGCATGCAGCAGGGGGCTGTCCTCAATGCCTCAGTCCTTCTGGGCTCAGACAACAGTGTCCAGCAGGCGAAGAGCATGGTTATGACAGCATGCAATGAGTGTCTGAACCCAAAAGTTGAAAATTGTAAGACTTATAGACTCTCCAGTGTTCCTGATGTATTTCAGAAGTCAGTCTGAGATGTTGACTTTGTTTTCTAAAATGTAGAGGGCAAGTTGTTCATTTCTTGCTTTAATTTGTTACATTTTTGTATTGTTTTAAGTTTATTAAAAAACTCATTGGCAAACATGCCCCCGGGCATTGTCTTAGGAACATTTGGTTTAAAAGCCCTCTGAGAGGAGGGATCAGCCCTCCCATCACGAGAGTCTCTTGGCTGCCTTCCTAGCACCCACCCCCCACCCCACTACCCACCAAGGGAAACTGTGGGCCCAGCCTTCTGTCTGAGCCTGTATGTACTGGGTCTTCCTTTCACGTCAGATGTCAGGCAAAGGCTGAACATCTTCTTCCTCTCTTTACACTCCCTGTCTAGATAACCCTAAATATCTACATTTTTACATGAGCCTATTCTTTTTTATTTTTCATTGATCCAAATGCATAATTCCAGATCAGTAAACTTTTGAAGGTGCATATGGGAAGCATCAGCGCCCACTGCGCTGTCCTCTCCTCGGTCCCTGCTTCCTCACACCTCCTTTGTTGCACTGTCCTTCCTCCATCCTGACTTAGTTTAAGGTGCATGGCCACAATGCAACCTCTTCTGCTCCCAGTGCTTCCTGAGCTCCAGTCCTCCCTCTGTGACCCCTGAGGGGACAGAGGTGTCTGTGAAGACTTCAGAGCCTGGCACTGAGCGGCTCCCTCTCGGTCTCCAGGCAGGTGCCTCTGCCCCAGACTCCGGCTCCAGCACACGGTCCTCCCTGCCTCTCCTGGAAGGACCCACCTCCCACGTGGAAGGACCAGGAGCCACACCTTCACCAAGACTGCCCTCTGCAGGGCCTCGCGGAGGTCAAGAGATGTCTTGGCAACTTTGGGTGTTTTTTTAGGCTTTTAAGGGATTGAAACAAAGAGAAAATATGTCAAAACAGGATCACTAACATTGTACTTTGAGAATGTTGGCAGATGATAAATGGGAACCTTTAACAAATGCAAACACCAGTTTAACTGCACCAGGAAATATTGTCTGAAGTCTAATCTGGGGCTTTGATAGATGTGAGGCCTCGGGCAAGGGGTCAGGGACAGGCCAGCCTCTGGCCCAGACTTTGGAAACCAAAGGCCTCTCAGCTGTCCCCTGGCCCAGAGGAAGCCCAAATGCCCAAAGTTCTTGCTCCCCTGCCATGCGGAGGAAGGAAAGCACCTTTCCTCAGAGATGCACCTCATTCCCCAGCATTGTCCTGCTTCACGGGGTTGGCCTCCTGTCACCATCAGAGCACCCTGACCTTGAGTTCCCTTAAGTTTGCCCCAGGGGTAGGTTGGAGGCTATCCTAGCCACACTCCCTTTCCTGAAATTTTGACTACTTAAGTGTGTCGGGGTTCCCAGGATCAGTGGCATGTAATCAAAGAAACTGTGAGAGTTTGTGAGTGGCTGGCTTCTTAGCTCAGTGAATCTCGGGGCTAAACTGAGTTCAACAGGAAAGTACATGCAGTAAGCTGTCAGGACTGGGAAAGATACAGGCCCAGAATGGGGGGGGGAGGGGGGAAGGGAAGGGTTGGCAGGAGGGAGACCCTGTGAAGAAAGGGTGTGGCCTCTGGCCAAGCCCTTAAGCTGGGCAGAAGACACATGGGCATAGTTTATTATTCATTCAATGGTGTTTGCTTGGCTTATTTTATTACTCTTTAAACTAGAGGCCCAGTGCACAAATTCGTGCACTGGTGGAGTTCCTCAGCCTGGCCGGCTATCAGGGGCAGTCAGGGCTGATTGGAGCCAGCCAGTCATGGGGAGGAACTGACGGAAATTGGCTGGCCATGGGAGGTTGGCTGTGGGAGTACACTGACCACCAGGGGGCAGCTCCTGTGTTGAGTGTCTGCCCCCTGGTGGTCAGTGCACATAATTGTGACCAGTCATATGGTTGCTTTGGCTTTTACATATTATATATTATAGATGGCATGTGATGGGTTTACAATCTTTTACAAATTAAAAAATACAGCATATCTTCTCAAGTTGCTTTTAAAATAAGATGAGGGATAACTAAATGAGGAGATGAATTTTCAAATAGATAAAATGGTGTGTTTATTCTGATTGCTTCTTTTTCTCTCCCAGCAACTGATCAATATTTCCAATGAGGACATACATGTTCATATTTTACCCCCACAAACCAAATACTTTCAGATCAAGTATATGAAGAAGGTAAGCCCCGCTGGGTGGCCCCTCTCTCACGGTGTTCTTTGTCGGGCTGTAGTTTTCTGGCCCCGGCCACCTGGGCATGGTGTGGAGGTTGTCCCCGGATCCTGCCTCTGAGTGCTCCTCCCAGCCAGAGTCCCTTTTCTTCTAGGAGCACCGCCTTGTCCCTGGCTTGTCCCTCTCCATCACCATCACGTTTTCTCCAGATGAGTGGCGATACTATTACGATTGCATCCGTGTTCACTGTAAGGTAAGTCTCTTACAATCGGGCTTTCGGGGGTGGGGTGGTGTCAAAACTAACATCCTCAAGGGGAGCAGAGGGAAGGAATGATGGGGGTGACGTTTCCCGGCCCAGCGCCTGGTGGCCCTCTTCAGCCAGTCCGATGGCATGAGGACCCTTGTGCAGCGGGTCCCAGCTGGGAGCATGTGAGGCTGCGGAGAACTGGGGCAGAGCCACGAGACTCGGTTTCACGGCTGGGTTCCCACCTGCCCTGGCTACAAGCCTCATTTATCATATGGGAGTTGGGGAAGGCTAGCCAGAAGCGTAGCCACTCTCTTTAAGTGCTAGATTAAAAAGTTAGCAAGAACCTCGAGTTGTGTTTATAAACTCTGGGGACTGGATCGTATCTTTAGTGGGAATGTCCTCAGAGCCAGCCCTGGGCTCTGCGGAGATGTGGGAGCCCGGGGAACTGACCCCAGGAGGCTGGCTGTGCTGCATGCCTTCTTATGAGCCTTTCTCTAGGTCACCTGAGTCATCCTGTGGCTTCCAGCCAGAGCCAGCTCCCAGGCCACCAACCTCTTAAAATTGTCACTCCACCTTCCCTTGCTCTGTATTCTAGCCCCTACCTCTTATAAGTCAAGAAGCCTTAAGGTTAGCAGAAACCAGTGTGGCTCAGTGGATAGAGCATCAGCCTGTAGATTGAAAGGTTCCAGGTTCAATTCCGGTCAAGGGCAAGTACCTTGGTTGCAGGTACATCCCCAGTGTGGGGTGTGCAGGAGACAGCTGATTGATGTTTCTCTCTCATCGATGTTTCTAACTCTATATCCCTCACCCTTCCTCTCTGTAAAAAATCAATAAAATATGTTTAAAAATAAAAAAGGAAGAAGAAGTCTTAAGGTTAACTAAATTTGATTTTCAAAACTAAAATGGAAGAGTATGCTTTCATAACAAATGAGTTTCAATCTTTTTATTATTGATTACAGAGAGGAAGGGAGAGGGAAAGAGAAACATCAATGATGAGAGGGAATCATTGGCCGGCTGCCTCCTGCACATCCCATACTAGGGATTGAGCCTGCAACCCAGGCATGTGCCCAGACCAGGAATGGAGCCATGACCTCCTGGTTCATAGAGAGATGCCCAACCACTGAGTAACACCAGCCCAGCGACTTTCAATTTTTTAAAAGAAAAAAAAATACCTAAAACTGAAAATAGAAAATTGCTTTCAGAGGAATATTCTGCACCAAGAACTCAAATCCCTAAGCAGGCGTGTGTAGGTAGCCTGGTGCGTGTCCTGCTCCCGGCAGTAATGCTAAGGATAGCCGCACCTGTGTGAGGCCACCACCTACTTTAATTCTCAAAAACACCTTTAAGGAAAGGCAGAATATCCCCATTTTGCAAAGAAAGAAGCAAGGCCTGAAGAGGTTGAAGGTCATGGCTAAGGTCGAATTTGATGCAGGACTAGAAGCAGGTGTCTGCAGGCTTCCAGTGGTGGTTACTATCCCACTCTGGGCAGCTGATTCTATGCCGGTTTCTCTGTTCTTCCCTACAACTTCTTGAAATAGAAACAGTCAGACAACTGACTTCATACCCACACGAAGGCATCACTGTCTTTAGCAGTTCTGTGTGATAGTGAACATTGTTTAAATGTCATATATTTAAATTATTTACACTTTGGTAGAGCAAAGAAAAATCAGTGTTTTAAATGTTGTATTTAAATACTCAGGTTTCTTAAAAAGTATTTTTTCTAGAAACATTTTTTTTTAATGATAGAGAACAAAATAAATATCTACCAGTTCATTCTTCTAAAATTCTGGTCTACAGTGTGGTAAGCTGGACTTTTCCCATTAATTTTAGGGTGATGACACTTTGCTTATTCCCGTCCATGCCTATCCTGTCATGAACACACTGGATTTTCCCTCATATATAAACCTATCAAATGTTCTACTTGGTGAAAGGTGAGTTACCGAAATGAACTACCAACATGTCACTGAATGTGAAAAATTAAGAGAAACATATATAAAGATTTATATTTTTCCTAATAGAAGGTTACCTTTCTAGCTGAGTTAGACCAGACTTGTAATTGCAAAAGAAAAACAAACAAAATAAAAATACTCGGAGTGAGAAATGGAATAACTCTGGTCACTTAACTGGCAGGTGTGAGGTGGATCTTCAGGCGTGGCCGGGCCTGGGGGTTTAAATCGGGTCACAGGAACCTCACTCTCCCCGAATCAGGGTCTGGAGGCTTCTTTCTCAGCAGCCCCTCTCCCTGGGCACAGCTGCCAGAGGCTCCAGAGACTGTTGGCAACATGGATGGTTGGTTGGAGGGGCTGGAGAGGTTGGGGTATTTAAGCAAAAGTCTCAGGACTGAGTCTTATAAGGCCAATTCGGAGCTTGTGCCTCTCCATGAACCGATCTTTATTTTTAAATGAAGGGAAAATAAATGCAGAGATGACAAAGACAATAGAAGTCACGATAGATGTCCCATTTCAGATTCTTCCTCCTTCTTGTTGGGAAAATAGTTGATGATTCTAGTTGTAATTTATGTATGTCTTTTTTTTTAATCAATAAATATTTATTGAATATCTACTCTCAGGCATAGTGCTATTTGTCCCTAAAATATAAAGAAGGCGAATATCTAACAGCCCAAGGCCATGCCAGTTGTTGAAATATGGAAATACTCCTCTATTGGTTGAGAAATATATACTGTCCTGAGCCCTGTCCCCAGCACCCCAATCCCAGCTCCTATTCCTTCTCTCTTGCTGTTCCCTGGCTTCCCAGTGATTCAGCAATCAAGTTGTCGATACAGCATTTGGGGTCGGGAAGCTCCTGCAAGACCTGCTGCAGCCCTTCCCCCATTCTAACTGGGTGCTGTCCGTGAAGTCCTGACTGAGCAGCCACAGGCTCTGATTCCGGAGGTCTTAGAGTCTCATCAATGAGCTGCACTAATCCCTGAGTGCTGTAACAGAGGCACACAGGGGGAAGTCCTCATTCATCTGGGGAGGACATTCATTTTGGGTTATCCTAAGAGGACTCCATGGGGTGGGCTGGGACAGTGGCATTCCAGGCAGGGAAGTAGCATGTATGAAGGCTTGGTGGCAGCCGAGGGCATGGGCTTAGGAGCTTGAAGGGCCACTGAATGATTTCAGTTCACACAGTTCCTGGCAAATACTAGATGCCTCTTGATATAGCCCCGGACTGTGAGCAAAGACATTGGGCTCCAGCATGCTCTGCAGGTAAAGGCTAAGGTGACCAGATCGTCCAGGTGTTGGCGGGACAGTCCTGATTTCTAACAATTTTTCCCACGTCCCAAGGCGTTTTAAAAAAAGTCCCGATTTTTTGAAAGATTGGAAACATTGGAAAGATTCTTTCCAAAAATCGGGACTTTTTAAAATGCTGCGGGATGCGGGAAAAATTGTTAGAAATCAGGACTGTCCCGCCAACACCTGGACCATCTGGTCACCTTAGTAAAAGCCAATTCAAGCCTCTGCAGGCAGCACCGAGCAGGGAGGGTTTCAAAACTCTGGAGGTAGAGACAGGGCAACTGAACCCTTTGGAGGAGGTGGGAGGACTGGTGTATACGAGTTTCAGGACCTTTCCTTTTCACTCCCACCTGTTGTCCTGGAGAGAAACCCCCCAAATTGGGTCTGGAGCAATGGCCTTGGTTCAGCCAGTGGGTGCTCCTCTTCTCTCGCCTCCCACACCTTCCCGTGAGCTCCGACTCACCACTCTGTGCGCTCGTTTTAAACAGCTCTTTAGGAGTTGTAAATAAATAATACAAAACAATGTATAATAATCTGTACAAATTAAAGAATAATAAAATAATATAATGAAAAGTAGTTTTAAGACATAAAACATTACCAGTAACTTTCCAACCACTATTCTGAATTTTGAGATAATCATTTTTTATTTATTTTAATAGTTTTGATATATACATATGTACACCTAAATAACACATTGTTTAGCTTTGACAGTGTTTTATCTTTATATAAAAGGGATCATACTGTATGTACATTCTGTTGTAACTTGCTTTTATTCATTCTATATTCTGTTTTGGTGGTTCAGCCATGTTAATGCATATGGCTGTATTCACAGCTCTAGTGTCTTGCTGTATAGAGGTGCCAGGTTTTTCTCTGTCCTACTGCTAATGGACTTAGGGGTTGTTTTCACTTTTTTTTTTTCTTTGCCCAACACTATTGTTGAGTTTCTTTGTAAATGGCCTGGGGCACATGTCCTACAGTTTCCCCTGGGTATATATGTAGAAACAAAATCCATTGTTACTGTCTAATGTCAAATTATTTTCCAAAATGGTTGTACCCATTCATACACACACTGCAGTGCACGAGAATTTCTTTTCCACATCACTGCCATCATGGGTATTATCAGAATTTTACATTCTGGCTCCTTGTCCTTTTGTTTCTGTTTATTTGCCCCAAAATGTTCTACCAAAACTATACCAGGGCTTCCTCCCTCCCACTCATCAGCCCTTCCTGTCTTCACCTGGTCCTTCTCAGGATTAAGTGCTCTGTTCAGGGACCCCAAGATTTACCTAACAAAGGTGAATCCCTCCTGGTGGGACCGACCCACTCTATGCATTTTGCCGTCAAACATTGCTATTTTCTTTAAATGGGCGAATATTGCAATTTTTACCAAAATCCAAGTGGCAGGAAAAAACTAACTTCATTCTTTTTTCCTTCCTTCCTTCCTTCCTTCCTTCCTTCCTTTCTTCCTCCTTCTTCCTCTCTCTTTCCTCCTCCTCTTCCTTTCTTCCTTATTTTCTTTACTTTCTCTCTCTCTCTTTTTTTCTTCCCTTCTTTCCTTTCTTCTTTTTTTCTTTCCCTCCACAAATTATTTCTTGTTTGGATCATAAATCAGGCTTATGAAAACAATGGTTTAATATACTGTTGAAAGTTACATGTCTTAAAATGCAGACATTAGTCTTGGTTCTTACAACACAAATCTACTAACTTCCCTAGAGACTTTTCCAAAACTATTTTGTATATAATTCCCTTCATTTGTAATCAGAAATGAACATTTCAGCTAAACTGTTTATTAAACTGAGTTATAATGTATAATGATATAATATTTTTAAAAATCTTTGCAACAATAAGCATGCTGCCTTTTTCCTTCAATCCAGAATGTTTGGTAGCACAGAGAGTTTCACATGAAAGATTCCCTACTAAGCAGGTAGCATTGGGTAGATCCTTTATTTAGCATTATTCACTCAAGAAATCTTTATGGAATGCCTACGATGTCTCAGGCACAGTGTTCGATACTGAAGGTGTAGAGATGACTCAGACCTGATATCATGATTAAATGGATGATTGTAATTTCTAATTCCACATATTCTGGGTGAGGACACCTAACCCAGCTCAGTGTGAGGGGAGTTAGAGGCATGTGAAATGGGGAAGCTCCACAAAACTTCCTAGAGAACATGTCTGAGCTGAGTTGTGAAGGCTGACTGAAATCTATCAACTTCTCTAGAGACTTTTCCAAAACTATTTTGTATATAATTCCCTTCATTTGTAATCAGAAATGAAAATTTCAGCTAAACTGTTTATTAAAGAAGGGAGTGGAGTAGGAGAGAACAAGGTGTACCAGGAAATGCTGTAGCGTGGGCAAAGGCAGAGGTGAAATGGCACAGACAGCTGGGCCTGTCTGGAAAATTTGTGTGACTGGACATGCATTGCAAGAGCTGTGGCAGGGGAACTAGAATGTAACTTGCTTTTATTCATTCTATATTCTGAAAGATGTGTTTTGCAGGGATGTGTACGTGCACCCTGAGACTGTCACCGAAAGACTTAAACAGAGAAATGGCATGATCATGGCTTCCCTTTAGAAACCTCATTTGGTGCCCCTGCAGAGATGTGGAGGAGGATGGGTAGGACTGCTGTGGACACCCAGGCACAATATGGCAGAGCACTGGAAGTGCCTGGACACTTCAAAAATAAGCAACGAGGGAGGTTCTGGTCAAGATGACGGCATAAATAAATGAGGTACTTGAGTCCTCCTACAACCACATCAAAATCACAAATAATGAACAGCTTTGGACCACGCTCTATCCACTGAGTCAAATCAACTAGAGTAAGTTTTTAATATATAGTAGTAAAAACAATGTTTGGCATATAGTTAGTGATTTATATTAGCCATCATCACCACCACCACCACTCAAGAGATTTTTACCTAAAGAATGCACAATTGAGACCCAGCCAGTTTGGCTCGCACAGTAACAAAGGTAGACAACATAAATTCTAGTTGCAAAGAGAGACTTGGTGTGGGAAGGCTGGTGGGCTTATGGCAGGTGTGGATGTGGAAGCCCCCAAAGCAGCCTGTCAGAAACTGCACAAGCTAATGGCCAGCCCAATGGCCAGCCCAAGGGGGCACCGAGCAGGGACTGAGATGAGGGTGTGGTTGCAGGTCTAGGATGAATGAGCAGCTTCTTTCTATTGGCTTTTACATTTTAGGAAAAGTCTTGTTGAGATTATCTACATATCATAAAATTCACTAACTTAAATTTTGTATATGTCAACAGTTTTTGTATATGCAACTACCACCATCATCAATTTTAGAACATTTTCATTCCCCTCAAGAGAAACTGCACACCCATTCCTTATTTTCCCTCCAAACTTCTCAGCCTCAGCAAATTTCTATCTCTATAAGTTGTCTTCCTGGAAACTTCATTATGTGGTCTTTTGCGGCTGACTTCTTTTATGTGGCATAAGGTTTTCAAGGTTTATCCCACTTATAACATGTGTCAGTACTGCATTCCTTTTATTGCTGAATAACATCCCATTGCATGGATGGACCGCATTTTATTTATCCATTCATCAGTTGATGGACATTGGGTTGTTACTACTTTTGGCTACTTTGAATTCCTATTGTGAACAGTTGTGTGTATGTTTTTTGCAATTATAGTTTACAGTAGAGTCCTGGTGCATGAAAATTCCTGTTCCTTCTC